GGTGGTCAGTAGGGTGTTGGTGGGTGGTCAGTAGGGTGTTGGTGGGTGGTCAGTAGGGTGTTGGTAGGTTGTCAGTAGGGTGTTGGTGGGTTGTCAGTAGGGTGTTGGTAGGTGGTCAGTAGGGTGTTGGTAGGATATCAGTAGGGTGTTGGTAGGGTATCAGTATGGGTCGATAGGGTATCAGAAGGATGTTGGTTGCCAGTCAGTAAGGTGTTGTTAGGTGGTCAGTAGGGTGTTGGTAGGTGGTCAGTAGGGTGTTGGTAGGTGGTCAGTAGGGTNTAGGTGGTCAGTAGGGTGTTGGTAGGTGGTCAGTAGGGTGTTGGTAGGTGGTCAGTAGGGTGTTGATTGCCAGTCAGTAGGGTGTTGGTAGGTGGTCAGTAGGGTGTTGGTTGCCAGTCAGTAGGGTGTTGGTAGGGGGTCAGTAGGGTGTTGGTTGCTGGTCAGTAGGGTGTTGGTTGCCGGTCAGTAGGGTGTTGGTTGCCAGTCAGTAGGGTGTTAGTAGGTGGTCAGTAGGGTATAGATTGGTGATAGTAGGGTGTTAGTAGGTGGTCAGTAGGGTGTTGGTTGCCAGTCAGTAGGGTGTTGGTAGTGTATCAGTAGGGTGTTGGTAGGTGGTCAGTAGGGTGTTGGTAGGTGGTCAGTAGGGTGTTGGTAGGTTGTCAGTAGGGTATAGATTGGTGATAGTAGGGTGTTTGTAGGTGGTCAGTAGGGTGTTGGTAGGTGGTCAGTAGGGTGTTGGTAGGTTGTCAGCAGGGTGTTGGTAGGATGTGGGTAGGTTATGATTAACATAAATTCCTGGTTAATAGCCCTGACCCCTAACCAGTAATAAGCTCCCTTGATATAAGCCCACCCATGGGAGGGACATCACTAAAAGTTTGAACTTTCGTGGAGGGTTTTAAACCTTTTTATTTCAACGAAAGCTATTTCCTTGCCGGTAATAGAAAGTTCATTTTGTTTTTCTTACTAAGTGAAGGGGGGAGGGGGCTACAACTTTTTTTAGAAAGTTTAATGCAAATCCTCCATCTCTCCAAAGTAAGTACCTTCCCTATTAGAAAGTCCATCCTGGTTGTTACCTGCCTGGTCATAAGCTCCTCTATTTATAGAGTACTGCCCTGCAGAACTTTAAGCCCATGGTTTCTAAACAGCATACAATATGCTGTTAATGATGTTAGCTTTGCATTCTTTAATATTACCATGCTGGCTATTGTTTATATTTATATATATATAATACAATAATATTCCATGGCTGGATGTGTATTGATGATCTTTGTCGTCATTCTCCTAGTTGCCATGGAAGGATGAAGAATTGGAGACTAATGTGGACCTTGCAATGAGTATTGTAAAAACCATTCGCTCAATCAGACAAGAATATCATGCTAACAAAGCTAAACCTGAAGGTAACGTCTACAATTAAATTTGAAGTTTCTTCAATCTTGTAAAACAGTTATTTATTTATCCTCTTCATAATTGTTTCAGTGTATTCCATCTTCTCTGATGATTCTCTTGCAAATGTCATCAAGGAGTATGCTAACACAATTGTAGCTCTAAGTGGTTCAAGCAGGTAACTATATCGCTCACGGAACATAACAATAGAGATGATGATGTTCTTGGGCGTAGAGCAAGGCTTTGCGAGGGCTAAAATGAGTTGCTGCAAGAGCCCAAAGCACATTTACACCAAAGAACAACTCGACAATTACTTTTCAAAAGGAATAAATACAATATCTTTCATAAAAATACCCGCTTTACGTTGGCGTTTATTCAGATGTCAAATCAATCTGCTCAAATTTACAAATAGACCTCTTTGACTTGGGGTAATGTTGACCCATTTCAGACCACGTGTCATTCCCTTGAGAATAAGATTATTTGTTTAAGTTGTATCCATATTCATGTGTCTTCTCAGACGTAGTAACCCGCAAAATGCACCACAATTCCCTGTAAAATTAGTATATGTAATAGGACTCCATGCTGTCCAATTAAGAAATGATTGGACGAGGAAAATTCCGAGGACTGACAAAATTGGATAAAGCCGTAGGCCGAGTCCAATTTGGCAGTCAGAGGAATTTTTCGAGTCTAATTATTTCTTGATTGGGGAGCATGAAATCCCATTACCTATTAATTATATAGCTGCCTAATTAATCCCATATCAACAAGACCTGTCCAATTAAGAAAATAATATTGGACAGTTACCTATATGGGATTAATGAGAAGCTGTATAATTATTATAGTAATTGTTTTAATATGCTTTTTGTAATCTAGAATGAACCTTTAATTTTACTTCCGAGAGAAAAAACACTGTTCAATCTCCGTTGTGACCTCAAAATTATACGTTCACATGTTATTGAGGACGGGCTGAGAGCTTTAAAAAATATTTGGTTGACGAAAGATACAGGCTCGCTCAAAATTGTTCAAAAGTATTTTATAAAAACAATATATAACGGATTGTTATGTCTCTGCATTGTGTTAGTAACACTCTGGGAGGCTTGCTTGCTTCTCTCGTGCCCAACACGACTCCTTGCATGTCTATATTATGGTACAGACATGCACACACCTTTTATAGATGATGATGATTTTTTTTATTATTATACATTGTCTATATTTAGATTACATGTGTTATGTCATGAACGACCTCCAGCTGGATGTGCTGTTGGAACTGTGCAGGATAAATGTGAAGTGCATCTGCTGCTAAAGGCAAGCCTTGTTTTGGTTATTTCTAGGTGTACACATTTGCTATTTATGATAGAAGTCTGTTAATAAGTTCATTAATCGTAAAATGTGTTCTTTAGGGATTGGTTGATATTCCCAAGGAGATCAGCAAATTAGAAAACAAGAAAGTTGTTCTCGATCAGCAGATCCAAAAGCTATTAGAGGCTACACATATACCARAGTACGAAACCAAGGTACAGCCATCAAAAAGACAACAGCTAATAACGAAGCTAAAACAGGGTTCCCAGGGATCTGGGAAAAGTCGGGGAAAAACACAGTCAGGGAATTGTGTTTAAAGTTAACAATGAGTATAGTATCCGTGTGATACTCATACTGTTTGCAATTTTCTAATAGACTGATAAATCTTTTTTAAATAATGAAAAAAATATTGAAGTATTTAGTATCATTTATGCTGGACAGTTTAATTACGTTGGGTATTCGATTTGTTAAACAGACCATAGAAGAGGGACCTCGATTTGTTTTTTATCACAATTCACTAACACGTATTTTTTCGACGTTTTTTAGCCATCAAAACAACCGACGGAAAGTACGCGCACTCGTTGACGCCAGCTTATTGCCTCTCATTGATCATAACAAATAGCCAATCAGCGCGCGAGAAAAATAGTATTTTCCTGAGTATTTCTTCTCATTGGTCCGTTTCCCGACATGAAACCAATCCCGAGGACTAAAGGGAGTTTTTCAAACACTGTTTCTGCTAGTGGCTGTAGGCTTCCATTATCTTAACAGGACTGATTGAAGACGAGAATCTGAAATCAGTAGTATCAGTTCCTACTTACTGACATGATTTTGGAAAAAAATATACTGAAACTAAGTTAATATCACCCAAACTCGAGCAAAACTCAACGAGAACACTGCCTTTGCATGCTTATAAGCACCTTTTGTTATCGCTTATATTACATATTTTCTTTTTTTTTAGGTTCCAGAGAATATACGTCAGCAAAATACTGAAAAGGTAATAATACTTGAATAAAAGCGGAATAGAGGAAACCCCTTCTCTCGGATAATGGGATGAGAAAACTTTTCCCAAAAAAAAAGAGACGAACTTTTCCTACCTGAATGCAGAGATGCCCTTGTAGGTCTTCGTAGGCCGATGAAAAATACTCTTCTACTTGATTGACAGAACACTGAATGGATATAAACCGTTATATATATATTTTTTCTTTTCCAGATCAAGCAAGTTGAAACTGAACTTCAAAAGTTAAATAGAGCTTTAGATTCTCTAAAGATGGCTGAATGAAAAATTTAAGGAATGAGCTGCAATTTAGTACTAAGTTTCTTTTTATTTCAAAAATATTTAATGTAATTTTTGCAAAGATAATGGGAGAATTTTAAGGCATAATGGCAATAGACCGTTCTCTCAAGATTGCGTCCGCATCCAACTTGACGGGCCACAAAACTGGAAAACGCAAATTCAGTAAAATTCCTATCGAAAAACATTTAATAGTAATGTTTGATAATGCTCGTGATAAAGCTCGTGTTCTGGTATCGTGGTCCGTCAAGTTCCTTAAATTTGGATGCACGCGCAACCTTTAGAAACTTTCTATTGAAGAAGGATATGTGTCGTGTAGATACAGTCAATTCAAAAAACGTTGTCGTCGACTGGCTCAAGCCTACGCGACTGGACCGAAAGAAATATGGGTAAAAATCACTGAAGCGGTTTAAATATTCGTTCTGAATAAATTGTTCCCGCTRGTRATAAGATAATRATGGCRAGAAAMAATCYATCAAATGCATGTCTTTGGGTTTAGGGAAAGAAAAACAAGGTCGTTATGATTCAGTTCACAATTCCGAAAATATGAAGGCATTTAAAAAACGTCTCCTTCAACACTTCCCGCTCGCCTACGAACGTTCGTGCTGTAAACCAGGCATAACTAGTCAGATAAAATTATGCAGTCAACTCGGCTTCAATGATTACTACCCATAGTTCCTTTCGGTCTAGTCGCGTAGGCTTGAGTTGCTCGACGACAACATTTTTTGAATTGACTATATGCTTTACTGGACACACCACGTTCAGCTGGAAGAAAAAGATGCAATATCTAAAGATGTCTACCACAAGTAAAATGAATATCAAACCGCCCTTTGGCGAATACTAGTTTCACTTCTTAGAGATTGGTTTCCCTGTGCCGGCTTTGAAAATCAATACATTAAATTTAACTTTAATTCAAAGCTTGTTTGTGTCTATATTCACCTATTTCAATAAACGTTATCGGCGATAGCATAGCATAGCATAACTAAATGATTTGTGTTTCTGCTTCTTATTCTCGTCAAGAGAAGGACCTTAGTGTTGAGACTGATTCAATCTTTTTTCTATTCGAACCCCATTTGAATATTTATATCCTTCCGGATGTGTGTTAGTTTGCCGCGGAGAAGCTAGAGAAATATGGACCCGCCCTTCTTGTTTACTCATTTGGCAGTGGTGGATCCAGGATTTTCCAAAGGGGGGTTCCGTTTCTTAAACTGTGTATAATTCTCTTTTGTTTAGTCGATGTCTGACAAAAAAATTGGCTCTAATCACCTAATTTACTGTCTAGTAACGGAACTTAAAGGTAAATTAAACATTATAACAGCAAATATTTATCATTTCGTGTTCAACATTATCTTTGTGGATACTTTTAAGCAAAATTTATATGAGASATATTYCTATTACCTAAAAGATCAAACCTTCAAGGGGGGTTCCGTGGACCCCTTCGAACCCCCCCTGGATCCGCCACTGTTTGGTTTACTCCCTTAAGGTGACTGCCTACTTTTGGAAATTGATTTAAGCTTTTCTTAAAACTTCGATTTTCCGAATTGAAATTTAATGCTGATTCCAAATCTGAAAAGAAAAATAGGGTGTCCCGAGCTCGTYTTCGAGATAATCAGCATTAAATGGAAGCCTACGCACGAGCTTTTGGAGTAAAAATTGCGCCACCGGAAGTGATTAGAAAAAAAATTAAGATTCATAAGAT